ATGCTGTGACCTTTGGTCAGGTTGGGATTTCCACTCCCACCCCCACCCCGGTTTTTTCTAATGATCCTACGTGGATTGACAACCACACCGTCACATGTCAACTCAGCACGGTTTCTTAAAGTCTACCAGCATACAACAACGCCTACATGCAAAGAAACAAGCGATCTCAAAGAGCACCTCATGTTGCAAAGACACTGTTAAGTCAATTGGCAGCGAAGGGTGCAGATGTGGAACCTAAACAGGTTGGTTGCCAATATACACTCATCTGCAAACTAATTTGGTTCTTTCGAGAGACTCACTTGGAACCCAGCTAAATCTCTCGTTTATGATGTTAGGTTGGTTGCCATTCACGCCGGCGTTCCCTCGTTGGTTTGCTCACGGCCAACTTCATGTATCCCACCTTAATTGGATATATGCGAGAAGCGAAACATCCGGGCATTAATGGATGCACTTTGCTACCAGGGCCGAATAGCTTGAGCACCCAAAAACCATCATTCTATCCGAAAAAAAGATCATAGTTGTGAGCGACAAATACTTTATCCAGAGTAGGACAATGTACGCAACTCCAGAAGTGGGAGTATCCACATTAGGAGACGTTTAGACCTTTCCCTGTAAGCATTTCATTGCTCTCAAAAAGGGAAGCTACGAGATGATAAAGCACTGAATCCAACTCTCACCAGCCCCGTGGAAATTTGATGCACCAAGATGAGACATGCATAACAAATTCCGGGATCTTAGGTGGAAGTTGTGACATTTGGATACACAAATAAACAGCATGTGCTCAAGCACTGCGACCGGGAAATAACCTCAACCCAAATTAAAACGAACGTACCGAGGAACTCGCGGCATCGTTTGAGTGGTGCGAAGTGGTTGGACTCTGGCTCGGAAGACGAACCAACTGGCCAGTCGGAGTAAATACGGAAGTGTGGGTATGAACTAGCGGAACTTGCCGTGTGCCAAGTCTACAGTTGGTCTTTGTGACTGCCAGAACCGACGGTGGTGGTGGTGGCTAGGAAGCGGGTAGAGAATAATCGAACAGCACGTCAAGAGTGTGAAAGATTCAAACTACCGTATGGAAAAGTACTTTTGGTGATGCAGTCTTCCAGTAATAGGCCACAGTTCCTCTCGTTGAGGGCCAGTTGTGGCTGAAAGTGGCTGGGATTTGCCTGTTTACAGTGCGACTAATCGCGGGTTTGGTGCCAAACTGAGTTCGTGAACTCCTTTTCAGACATGGCGACATACAACAAAGGTTTTATATATCCGGCACGACTTCCCTAAACAGCTGGCTTAAGTTAGATGCGAAGGACAAGGACAGTAAAAGTGGGACAAACTCAGCACGAGTTGTGTTATATTTTATGGTCTTTTCCCCTACTTCTCCACCCCTCGGATGGGCGACTGCCAGTTGTGTTTAGGCATGGTACTGATACAAGAAGGCGATCGGTAAAGCAAAGGACTTACGGTAAAGGATCACTTGTTACTGAGCCCGTTCGGTCTAAAATAGTGAAATACCGTATGGCGTGGCGAATGAGCCTCGCGTCTAGAGTTTTTTGTCTAACACACCGAATAGCTCAAGGAACATAAACCGCTTAGGCGTTGCGGTTGAGTGTTATTTGCAAAACAGAACAGCATTGGCTGATTTCAGACACCAGACTAATCAAACACAGAGAACAAAGTATTACTCACAAAGACCAACCAATAAGATGCGAAAGAAGGAAACAACTTCGAAATCTCCACGCAAATGTTTCGAGCACTGACACACTTCTAACGTAAATGTAACCATGGCAAAACCCGCAATACAGTCAAAAGATCCACACACGATTAAGCAGATGGGTAAAACAGTATAAAGTCATCAGAACTCATCAACTTTCGTGATGAAGTTTCACGTCACTTTAGTATTCAGCATAAAGCTGATATTTAGATAAACCTTTTGCAGCAGATCTCTACTTCCCCGTAAATCCCGGATATCTCCCCCCTAACCACTTTCATTTCTAAGGTTCAAAGTAGACAGATTGGAAACTACCAAAAAAGCTGTCAAAATGAACCGAATATCAAACACACAATGAACGTGTGTTTCTAAATGCTGATCCTTTGAAGATCCTTCGTGTTTGACCGGCCGTACTCGTCATAGCGTGTGACCTAATCAGGTTCCACATCGCATCAAAGATAATGACTACTGGACGTTACTCAATGGCTTCAGCCAGTTTAAGTACAACAATATGGTGAATTCAGCAACGTTACAGTCCATTACCCATTCTTTATAGCTGATTATTTTGTCGATAAACGACCATGACAAACTACTGAATAGTTGTAATAAGGTACCTTTCCAAGTAGGGCTACAAAGCCAAAGATGATTCGGTCTACCCTAGAATCACTACAAAGCAACGGATGTTTCCTTTTGTGAGCAGATCATTAATGGCTAGTACGTAGTGCAAGCTATTCGTACTGCTGATCAGCCACCATGTTCGACAATGAATAAAAAAAACCTCAGCTGTAACATCCTTCCGGTGCTTAGCTGCCATGCTACCCGAAAGCACGAGGGCTGGGATACTGCCAGGTTGCGCAAGCCTAGACAGGGAAAGTAGAGAGGCAGAGGTCGGGTTCGACAATGAAACCGAAGGTCGAACTCTAGTGAGACCTACACTGTTAGTGATTCACAACGAGGAGAATAAAGTAGTATGGCGCTTTCCAGTCTCGACTGAATCGTCTGCTTGATCAAACCACGAGCTTCCAGCTATCTGCAAACGATACAAAATCTGCTCGCCAAGGAAACCATCTTACAAGTCTTTCATCCGATAAGTGTTTGCTTGAGGAATTATTAAACGACAGACCAAGTGATACGAACCGCCAAATGGAAGAGTTTTCGTGCCATATCCCCTCTAAGTGCAAGCCAGCTACACTGCTGGTCTGCCACCGTACACGAATCGTTACACACAGACTAATACGCAAGACAAAACTATTATTGCACTTTTATATGCAATAGAGTAGAGCAATCTATGAGCAACCGGGTGCATTCCTCCGTCCTGCTTTGTGTAGCAGATTTTCCAGAAGGCAATCAAAGAACCACACTTTGTCCATCGTCCACCTCTGCTATCCAGTCAAGAATTATCAAATGCATCGAGTTGCCGTATCCGTTGTACTCTAGGAATGGATATTGCACGATAAGAAAGTCTCATATTTCTTTGACCCCATGGAAAGCATTCTATTGTCAGGCTGTAGTAAATTTCTCACAATTCGCTGTACAAACTAAACCAAGAGACACATTTAGTATATGCGCATGTAAGGCATCCTAAGGTACTTTGACTTCGAACTCATTTCGACGCTAAAAGAAAGGCGTAGTGCCTGGTATGTTGGCGGGAATACTGAACCGCATCATTCAAAGATTGGTCGAACGAACAATGCTAGTCTTGAAACGTTAAGAGCTATCCAGATTGAACAAATAGTCTCCCATAAACTAATGACTCAAGAATCAGTAATCACATATCACTGATAACACCTCAGACGGTGGACGTCTTACGATTAGGTAGAAGAGAAAAAAAGACTACGAAAGGTTTGGTGATATTGATCAGATCCGTTTTCGAGACGGAACACCAGTGATCCACCCTGCCCTTAATCGGTGAAGCTGTGCTTTCAGTTTCTAGTCAGATTGCCTGGGTGTGTTCGGAGTCATTGGTATCCCGAACTAGTGTGCCATCAGCTCGGTTCTAGCGTCTGAACAAACTTACTGCATTTTCTGATCGATGGTTATCCATAACACCCTGTCCGAGAGTTGAACGACGTACGGGCGGTATCCTTGGTCGCGGTGGTGGTCGGCTAAGGGCAGACGAACAGCGACGGGGTTCACAGCGCTCTGCAGGTGAGGAGACGACTGATTCCTGTGTGAGAGTGATAGACCGTCGACTTGAATTCTGCAGGGAGAAAGTTGGGGTTAAATGACATTTTTTGACAAAACCCCGCGACCTACAGCTTTTTGGAGGGAGTTGCGCCGTCTACCTTAAAACTCTCCGCGCGGCTGACCACAGTGTGATAAAGTGTGAATAGAAAGAATCCGGTTACACTTATCAGATAGATTCAAAGCGATCTTCGTTGACAATTGGGATGATATAAGAAGTTTGGATTTCAAGAACAACACTATTACAGCAAGGAAAGTCCAAAAATATCTGGGGAGACCTTAAATCAATCATCATTCAGTCGTAGAAAACTCCTCGGAACCTCACTGCCACATCACCAGAAGGAAGAACGAGGGCTGGGATACTGTCAGGTTGCCCAAGACCAGACAGAGAAAGCCGGTAAGCAGACGTCGGGTTCGAACCAAGACTTTCCGGTCAGTAAATTTGCCCTCTAACCACTTGTGCATCACTGATTCCTCGCACTCACAGGAACCACGTCCCCCATCGGCACACCGGTAGTCAAGGTTTTCTGTGCGTTCTGAGCACACAGAGAACTGGTCCGGTCTATAAGGGATTATGTATTGCATTATCAGGCAAACCGAGATCGCACCAACACATCATAGATGTCAGAGAGTGACGAAAGCTGTTTTAGCGATTCCTATCTATAAAATTATTTCGTCAGTTGGGTGAGTTCATTATCCAGTATGGAAGTTGCGCCCTATACTTCACATGTATGAATGGGGTACATCAGGCGCATGCAATCCTCACTGGTTGTACGGCCGCTACGCATCAAACGAGTCCACATCCAGACACAATGAATTCACCTGGTTCTTTTCATCCAAACAGATATTCTGGTGACAGGCTTGTCCCTACGGAAGAAAAATATGAAGTGCGTTATGAGCACATTGATCAGTCTCGTAATTCCAATGGTGTAGGGTGCACTCAAGATAAGATCAATGAATGAATGGAGGGCCTCAATGAAAACGAATTCCGTGTGTCCCAAGGGTGTTTTCAACCTAGAGTGGGTACTTGACAACCTTTCAAATTAGCCGTTCCCCTGTATGGAAGCATTAGCAGTGATAGTGTAGCACAGCCTCGAGTTTTACTAAAAAGATATCGCAGTGACAAACCTTCCAAGTTGGGATAGGTCTTCTACCATAGGTCTTCTGATACCAAAACGGCCGAAAATGTAGGAGAATAAAATGTGAGCGTTCGAAACAATACTTGATGTCAAGGCCAGTAGGACATCTAATCATGACCTACCCGTCGTTCATTGACGACAGCACGATTGACAGCTAAGATGGGGACAAGGTCCGGATATATATGGTTTGGACGGCTAGAATGTGAAAGCAGCTCTGTTTGTTGCCCTAATGAGCAGGGCGGTTTTAGCGTGTCAGCAGGACCTCGTGGGGCGGTTCCGTTCGAACGGTTAGCAATAGCTGGGCTGGAACGAGAGAAACAAGTATGAAAAATGTGAGAACACATGATAGTGGTGATGGGGAGGCTAACTGAGACAAATTATAAAAAGAAGTAACAGATCTTACAGATGTACAACGAAACATACTCAGGCTGAGGAGAATTGCCGGATACTGACGTCGAACAGGCGCGTACCCATGGCGATGGGCTATCAGGATCGGGAGAGCAGTTCACAGCGACACATCTAGGAATCTACAATAAAGAAACACAATACGGTAAAGTCGAATCTGGAATGAAGCAATCCGAATAAGTTGCGCTTTGGATAGCGAAATCAGCTTGCTTTGTTGTCACACTGACCAAGTAGGACTAGAGTGTCATAACCTGTACACATGGTGGATAACCCCTCTAACAGTGCGGAGGGCGCTTGATTCGTTATTATCACCCATAACTTCCAGGCAGTCATAGATCTGTTTTGCCCCATCTCCGCTAACTGCTGTAGATTTTGCTTCTGCGGCTGAAGAATGTTCGGAAATAAGGCCTGGGGGGCTTGCCCCTGCAAAGAATTTGGATTCAAACGACCAGAAAAGCTCATGGTTCAAACAATTTGTATTTTCAGGGATTTGTCGAATAGTGTGTACTGGTCCCACTTTACCGAAGAATCCTGAAGTGAAAGAAGGGTTTGTTCCAGTTCACTTACTTAGGTCTTTAATTCGATAGAATACGCCCACACGAAAGAACGATCAACCGAAGATCAGCATGTGTAAATGCGGTAATGCCTTTCTGGAGAGATCAGGCAGAATCGTTCTCTCATGCAGCGAATTGCCTAGAGGACATACGATTCGCTCGACCCTAAATTGAGATTAAGTCACTTTGCGGTCACAGCGTATTTTCAAGATTTCATTTCGGACTTTTGCAGCTGCATTGATCCAGGGTATGGGCTGTGACCTTTTTGGTGCTATGTTGTCATATGTAACTTGCGGCATATCACACGACAATCAAGTTTTTTTCGCAATAGCTGGACCAACTGAAGTGCAGAATGTCAATCTTCAGACCATAAATGTGCTAAGGATAACGGCGAGATGGCTCAATTGGTTAAGAGCGCGAATTTACTGACCGGAAGGTCCGTGGTTCGAACCCGACCTCTGCCTCTCGACTTCCCCTGTCTAGGCTTGGGCAACCTGGCATTATCCCAGCCCTCGTGCTTCCTTCTGGTGGCATGGCAGTTAGGCACCAGAAGGGTGTTACAGCTGAACGATAAAGGTAACGCCTGAGTTAAGTTCTCGAACTGATACTCCCAAACTAGCGTTTTCACCGTTCTTGAAGGATACAGAAAGTTTACTAAACAGCCAAAAACAAGTAAAAAAACACATGCATAGCGTGTCGCATTTAAAGTGCATGCAACATTTTGAAAAATCGGACACCTGAACGAGCTATTGGCAACTGGCAATATGCGTATACTGGAACATGATCATATTTTCAACAAACCGGAGCTAGCCTTAATGTAAGCGATTCGGTGTGACCTAGACACGTTGGCAGTTGCAGCGCCTGATAGCGAGCAGTGAGGTGATTTTGGTGTGGGATTCCGGACATACATGTCATCTGCAGGCTATGCTGATAAAATCGTGCGGCATAACCACCTAATAGACACTTCTAAGAGTTTTGACAGTCCAGGTTGCTAGCTAGAGTCACCATTACATTTCGTACCCATTCCAACAGTAAGCTCGTTGAAATCAATTGGGTACAGTCCTTCGTGTACCTTTGTTTCACGACTGTTAAATCCACATTTAGAAGCTGCCGTTACAATACGCACAAGGGTAAGTATTTGAAAACTGGCTTCGCAAAGCGCTATGGATGGGTCGCCAGGACCACCTATGAAACATTCCGATTTTTCCGACATTTTACTTTCACAGCAGTGCGCAATCCGCACACAGCTTTTTTTTAGCCTGGTTGAGGTGTTTGGCAGCAAGGAAAGCAATTCAATGGTAACAAGGCTGTGAGGCTGTGTCGCAGGTTTGTCACCAAGTTCACACGGATGTCGGAATTTCTTAGCCATTTCCTAAAAACTTCTGCTCTCTCGTTAGAAACATCTGTTTAGATTGGGCTCATCATTTTTGATTATGAAAATCTTATAACTGTGTCGTTCTCAGGATTAACTGTTTTGGTCGTCTGAATCATCCGGAAATTTGGTCTGAAGGGAAAACTTGCCAAGTAAGCCCGGTGAAAAGCCATGATAATAAGTCAGGGACCTGCGATACAGGCTCACTCAGCACCGAACAGTATTCATACCTGAGTTGGTCTTACCGCAACCCAGTACCAGTTGACAAGGAAACCTAGTCAGCAGTGAGCTATGCTATTGACAGACCCTTGGCTGTCGCCGAGAAAAAGACATTAGGGCCAGAACAAACTCTAATTCCATTCACTTAACTATTAGCACCTAGGAAAACCTGAAGAGTTGCCTTTTTCCATTCTGATGGGCTTCGTTTAAAACAGAAGCCAAACCAATCGAATTGGGCCCCGGTCAGCGGATATAAAGCTGAATAACAAATGACGGTAACATTTTGTGCGACGTGTTCACGTGACAACAATAGTAACGAGTTGTCGTGCGTTACGCGTTGCTACAGCTACAATTCAGCTAGATGACGGTTTGAAAAAAAACTAGCAACAAGGGTAAAATAAACGGATCCGATCGGAAATTGGCCGTGGTAAAAGCAATCGACATAATTCACTGCGTGAGAATGTTCGGTTAAAAATTCATTTTGAATTAGGTCCATGTGAAACAACTAAATTAGTGTCAAGAAACTCGGAATGATCGAAAACTGAGGCAAAAAAAATCCGGAACCATTGCAATTTATATGCATTACACTTGTTTATGGGTGAAGAAAACCCATTCAGCTACGACACGAGAATGATGGAAATTCGCGGGTTAAATCTACCTTATGAGCCGCAAGATAAGCGGCTGCTAAGATAAGTAGGCTGTCAAGAGCTCTCATCTACTTACAGTAATGTCTTGCGAAGGAAAATCTAATGCAAGTAGAACATAAGTTTGACGGAAACCCGGGGACTGCGCCTACCTGATGAGCCCCAAGAAGGGCGAAACCGGCCGTGGGCTGTCGATGGATTTTCAGCAACCTAATGAGTAGTACATTACAAAAATCTAATGCAATTCAGCCACTCAGCTGTAACACCCTTTCGGAGCCTAACTGCCACGCTATCCGAAGGAAGCACGGAGGCTGGGATACTGCCAGGTTGCCCGAAGCCTGGACGGGAGAAGCAGAGAGGTAGAGATCGGGATCGAACAACGGACCTGTCGGTCAGTAAATTCGTGCTCTAACCACTTGAGCCATCTCGCGCCAATTTACCACGAACAGACGACTATGAGTGATATTGCAGGAAGATCACTGAAGCATCCGACGATGGGCAAACATAATCTCACGTGGACAAATGCATCAGAGACCTGCGGATCTGTACTGTTATTCCGGAGAGCAACCAGAGCTGATGTTGCAGCGCCGCGAAACTTCCTAACATTTAGAAGCAACAAAAAGACTGAGAGAATTCACTGGAGATTCTTCTACAGCGCTACCTCAGTATCCGATTCCCCCGAACAAGGGGTAGGTGAAAGAAGAAACCGAACGAGTTCTCATCCTCAGTCAGATCTTAACGGGATTATTGCAGACAAGTCGCGGCTTTCAGGTACCACTTGATGGCACTTACTAGGATTATAGTCCACAAAAGACTGAGTAAAGCAAAAAATTTATAGAGGTCTGCAGTGTGGGATAAACGACGAGGAGGAACCTGCTGTGACGGCAACACGTTGCACCACCGGTGCATTACACATGAACGGAGGTGAGTTCAAGCTGCGACCATCAAGCCTCTGAGAGCCGTTTGTTTTAGAAACTGACACAGGAAAACAATCCAGGCACTGCAAACAAACAACAGTTGGCTGACGCAAACAAACTGAATGACCAATCACCATCAACAGCAGCTGTAAGAACCGCATACTTGTCATACAGTGGTTAGAGCTGCCACAGTTTCGTTCACCGATAATTTGCAAAGATGAGGTAGGTAGCTGAGCATTGTAGGTGGCAGCTGCTAATAAGTGATGCGTAAATTTAGGGTTGTCAGTAGACATTTAGTTGGGGAGATTACGAAGGGAGCCATATATTGAAGGAAATGGCTTAGATGCACGAGCGCCATTAGTGGTTCGCGAATGGGATATGTGTGACGTGTCTCCGACCATTGATGTTTCGCGTCTCGGAGTCCCCAGCCAAGGAGACGGCGATGGCTAGCGCATCTGAGTTTGTTGGTGGAACGAAGTGCCAGTCAGTGTAATCCGCGGGATCATTGCATCACTCAAGGCCGACCACCACGGCAAAGTGGCAACTTTAGGTCGGGAAGTAACCAATCAGAATTTACGGTAATCGAACCATCAATGCGGGGTCCAGAACGACGGTCAACAATGATGGTTGCACATTTGTGAAATGCCGCTACTTTTCCTCAACAAAACCATATTTTTCCGAACTGACTCCTGGGCCACAGCATATTATGTCACGCTTACCGTTGCCGCAGTATCACGGGAAGTGGACTGTACGGATGCGGGTCGAACAGGCGACTCTTCAAGCTTGTCACGAGGACGCCAGCAGAACAACCAGCTAGAGCCTGGAATGGAGAAGTGAGCGGTAGAAGACGATTAAGACAAAGAAATTTCGTCCACATATGTTTAATTGGTCCACACTGGTTAACTGAGAAGAGATAAAGATGTAAGCAAAACTCTGACCAAAAACCACATGGATTTGTCAAATTTGCACTGGCAGATGAATACAGACTGGTTTAAGCTGCAGCATCGCACTTTTCGCCGAGTCGGATCGTAGCAAAGCCTTCACGCAAATGACATAATATTGCAAGTGAATACGTTTCAAGGACCAACCTATTGCAAAAGTGATTTATGAACAAGGATTCAAAGAGGCCACTGCGTCACTGGGAGCGTCAATACTGTCATCAGACAAAACAATCAAATAAGGGAGAAACTTTGAGGGAGGCATAAATTTCCGAAAAGAGTGGCATTCAGAACGAGTTTCTTTTCGGGCATGTAGCTTGAGGGATGCACATACGGAGAAGTCGGAATAACGAGCACACCAAAGTGGTCTCGGTTCAATTCTCCAGTAAACGTCCAAGTAAAAACCTTCCTGTTGACGCAACTGATCAGACAACTGGACAGCCCTCTGATTCATCAAACCAATACATTTAGACGAAGAAAGTGTCCACATCTGTATTATAAACTTTCAGTCCAGCCCTGTTCTCCGGAGGGGGGACGGCATGGACCTACTCTATCAATTTGACGTACACAGTATGTACACAATGGAGGCAGAAAATCGACTACGATTGAAAATGAGAGTGGTATGCATCAGGGGACCGTTCAGTTACTTGTTCCCTTGACACTTTACACGGACTCCCTACATGTTGACAGTTCAAGAATTGTGATAAAAACGCCGACGACACCCCCAGTGGCAGGACTGGTTCTGCAATCCGTGATTTTAGACTTTTCCACCAGGATATCAATTCGGCATAGTCATGGTTTTAAAGTATTTCTCTCAAGCTGAACGGAAGTAAGCGAGCTGAGATTGTGTTTACACTTAGACGTGGCCAATATCTGGATGACTTATAACTACCGCTCTCCCCAACGATCGATCATCCAGAGATGTCCCTTGGCGCAAGTGCCCAAATGCTTCCGAGTTTAGCTATCCACTGAGTTGCCTCATCATGAAAGTGCAGGAGACGTACTGCTGAAGAACTGCCATTCAATCATTTTATAACACAGTTGCCTAGTCTGGGTGTTACCTTTTTCATAATCAAATCTTTCATTCTTGCCACTAACCTACTCACTGTATTTGTGCGTGAATTTGGAAGATGAGCAGACTGGCCCGAGATTCCCCGTACACTTATGAGCATGCGACTCGGTCCCTGTTTGGCAAATAGGCAAATTCGTACGCCTATGCGTAAGCATTTGTACACTTCCTTACAAAACTGCTGAAACGTTCGTTTGAAAACTCGCTAGTGCATTGTGAATGGAGAAACCTCTTGTCTTGTCTTACGAAGAAAATTCAGTTTCCTATTCAGGTTGAAGGTGTAAACCTTGGGACCCAGATGTCGATGGCTGCTGACCAAGACAGGCAACCACGAGAATAACAGAAGGCTTTTCGAAATCCGCGTACATCCCAAATATCGTTCTTGTCACTTCAACGTCCACCTCGACATTGACACAGATTGAACCAGTGGCTTATTTCGCTCTACACAAGTCAAACAAACACACCCAACAGCTGTTGACAAACGCGATCGATTCAAAACTCACATCTTGTCGAAAGAGTCTTTTTTCTAACGTGTTGAAAAATAAAGTATGAGAGGAACCAGCAAAAAGCAAGTATAACAAGGGTCATGAGATATTCAAAGGCGGAAATTTGACTACGTTACGTTAGGGCGTCCACAGAAAAACGTGAGGGCGGAATGAGACAGAAAGTGTATTCGATAAACCATTGTCGACCGGCGCGCTAGCGGTGCCGTACTAAAATCTAGTAAGGACGATGGACAAATAAACCTGTGAAAATAAACCTGCGAGGACAATCGCACGTGACTGGAAAGATAAACAAACACTGCTTGAATCCAGTGCCGTACTAATTTTCAGGTCACTGGTGGATAAGAATAAACTAAACGTGCCGTTGTCCCTAGTTCTTTCCGTTTCCCTTAATCGGCACAAACGTACTACTGTGTATGACAAGAAAGGACATTTGGTAAAACTGTGTGTGGACGAGAAAAACAAACGATTGTGAAGCGACGCCAATAGACAAACGAGTCAGTTTATCTGTTCACGCTAGCTTGTTGATTCGCACTAGATCTTGGAAATCTGTCAAAATGGATGCAAGGAAACAACGGTACTGGCGTAGAGCATATGTTTTACCTCCGCTGGCTTCGGGTAGCCCAATGGGAAACATATTTAGTTTGGAAGTCGGAGACAGATGAATCCATTTATCATCAATACTGTACCTGCGGAGTACCAGAAGAATCACTGATGAAAAAAAGTTACCTGGCTAAAAAATGCGATTACCATTATCGCGTCCCTTAGGCATCCGACCCCATGTGTTGAGAACTACCCATTTGTGCGTTGTCGATAGGTTCCAAGGTCAGGCTTGTGGATGAAAATTACCAGGCATGTAGTTGTTGGGTTACTCGCAACCCATTAAAAGATTAGAGAACGACCAGCGGACATTAGAACTCTGGATTTCTTCCGCGAGTCAATAACAACGCCGCCATTGTGATTATGCGCCATTCCAACATATTTCCACCTACTCTCAACTTCGGACTTTCGGATTGGGAATGCGTCTATCCAAGCCCGGTTGTTATTTTTTGAAAGCATCCTTTTTCTTCTTCTGTGACGAAAAACATGTATACACTTCATAAAGGAAACTACTCACAAAATTGCTGAAAACTCTTTGACAGCCGACAACCGGTTTCGCCCTTCTTGAGGCTCATCAGGTAGGCGCATTCCCCGAGTTTCTGTCAACTTTACGCTCTACTTTAACCCAAATTGGACTGATTTCGACAAACACACCTATTTGCAAATCAATTTGTTTTTCACGAGATGAGCCTGATGAGCCCCAAGAAGGGCGAAACCAGTAGTGGGCTGTCGAAGAGTTTTCAGCAACCTTGTGAATAGTTTCCTTTATGAAAATATACTGCGATATCTGGAATATCGTGCCAACTGAAACATGAGGAGGCCTGTGTGCAGCACGTTCAGCCGTAGAATATTATAAACGAGAGATTCAGTTGAATCTCTCATAAAAAACCAAATTGATTTTCAAATGAATGTATACACCTGTTTAAGATGGTAGCTGGCATCCGGTCGGAAAGCATTTATGAAGGGATTCGAACCCAGTTGGTTGAAAAGGAAGTCTGCGGAGATCAACACTGAGCTGCCTGGAGCTCAATTCAGACGGATCCCGATAAACCGCTGTGGATATATGAAAAGGCGATGCGTTCAACCAGGTTGAGGCGAACTGCCTGCACAATGGACTCCTATAGGTGACGAACACAGTAAATATGATCAATAATCGACAGTGAATATAGTTTCGAGAGGAACTGGTTGAGAGTTCGTCTCCATCGAAGACTAAAGGGTTCGGCACTGTCAGAGATTGAGAATTGGCAACACTTGCAAACAAGGACAGGACTGAGTAGCAGGTAGGTTGCGGTTGCAGTGATGTGGCCTCCGAAAGCTATCATGCTTCTTATCGTCGAATTTTTATTCTACACACTTTCGACAGATTTACTGTGGCATCCTTTCGCCACACAGCTGGCTAGAAGCAAACGGTCTGAGGTAGAACCAGATTATCCACACCTAGGAACAATAAAAAAACTAAGACTGCACCCAAAAGACAAACCTGCCGGCACCCTAACTGCCGACCCACATAGAGTTACCATCTGCTTCGGGCTAGTCATGACAGGAGCTGTCATAATAGAGATAGTGGCATTATGACTCCTATAAAACACAAGTGGTGAGGTTCCCAGAATGTTTCGTGCAGCCTTCCTTCAAGAACACTAACCGTCTGAAGCGTAAAAGCGGTTATTGAACCCTTTTCGTAGTACACCTATACACCGGTTCCAGTGTTTTCGAGATGAGATCTAGGTCACTGTTAATTGTTGTTTGTTTCTCAGCTGTCATCATCGTTACCGCCGACAATACACAGGCCTTCACACAAAAACATCGGCAGAATGCGGGATATGCTCGCAGTTAGTGACTGTTCCATCCTTCATAAATGTAACTGTTCAGTGTATCGACCAGTTATCTCCATTCCCGTTGAGAGTTGTGTTGTCTCGTGTTTATCCTTCACAAAAATCAAATGACCCGAACACCGAAAGATGAAAATTTTAAATGTTCCTCGGTGGTAAGAATTCTCGCGAGATTTCCACTGCTTCGAAGCAGTAGTTTTTATAAACCCTTTGTACTCAACAGTGACCTCGAAAAATTCGACCGCGAATTCACCGGTTAGTGGCGATTAGTGGACATGTTATCTAGCTATACCAGAATAAAATGACTAAAATATAAATTTATCTGGAAAATATAATATGGCACTATAATATCTATGGTATGAACTCAACGGAGGTCATCAAAAAATCTGACGGGTACCGGATGTTGGTACTCTCAGTTCGTACCGTAACTGTGTGCCCAACGACTACCAAGCCTGACTATTGATCTAATCGGATCAAGCCAATAAAAACCTGGTAACGCCGCGAGATAGCAGGGAGTCAGTGTAAGTGACATCGGTCATTTTGGAATGACCGTCAACTGGTCGAATCGCTTTAGTGACGAATTGCATTCCAATGTGGTGTTTTTACTGTAGCGGGGTAAAAGAAAGATTTCGAATGCCAAAAGTCTCGTGTTCACTTTTCGAGATTCCAACGTGGCCTACTGTACGTCATAAAAATCGCCTGGGTAACGGTGGGCATCGATTTAGGATAAACAAAATGAAAGCTGTGCGTTTTTTCCATATCCCAAGAATCGACTTTGTCAAAGTGCACAGCTCTCCTCGTTCGCCAAAATCATTCCGATAAAACTTCGCAGACTGGACAAACTATCAAGAAAACTGACTAAGACATTCCAGTGAGTTTAATCAATACCTATGTAGGCACACCTACGAATATCAAACACTTGCGTGTACCAACCAGGTGTTTACTTGGGAGGCTAACGGAAATAAGTTTTGACAAACATATATACGTGAACTACGAACTACGAACTAAATCACACATTTGGTTGTAGACCAGATGGCTGTTCATCTACAATAGTTCGATATATTACTAAACATTAATTCAATACAGATTTCTTCTTGTCAGTGAAGCCAGTCTATGCTGAAGAGCCGAGAAGCACTGTACACCAATTTCATCCTTGTTGGGAATCATCAACAGTGGGCGTCTCACGAAACTTCGGGAATGATAGTACTCGCATCTTTCCGGCTAGTGGTTGAACACTAAACAGTTTGGTCATGATCAGCTGATCAGCAGTGTACTTAGTAGCGCTATGTTCTAAGTGAGAGCTAATAACACTACTGATCAGCCGCTCGTGGCCAAACGGCTAGACATTCAACTACGGGCCGGGGTTCAAGACTCTGAGTCTCGTGAAATGCGTACTACTGATGATTCCCAACAGTGAACTGTGCAGTGCTCCTCCGTTTCTCAGAGTACGATAGTTTCCTCGATGAAACGGAATCTCTATTGAATATCACCAAATCTCATATCATCATTAAGCATTGATTGGCCGGCTATTGCAACTGAGTGCTGCATACACTAACAGAGGCTAGTTGACGGCCACACCCAAAGTGATGGCAGGTGGGTAAATATGTTGCCTAAGCTAACCAGCACAGCGCATGCGTTTTATAAACCGCTCAGAAGACTGATGAATACCTCTGCGTTTGAAGGGCAAACGCCCTGAAGAAGAGTGGCGATGTTCTCTAATCACAGCTGTGGACTCAGCTCCAACAGAGGACGGCCTTTCCTCCGACGATAAAGGTTCGAAAAGACTTGGGGGTTCTGAAGACAGCGCAGCTGGTGAGGTGTCCGAAGCATGCGCTGTTCGTATGTTAAGCCTGCGGGTAAAACAAATATAAATGAATACACGATAAACAGCTGGTGAGATTATAAAGGACAATAAAAGATGAGTCTTCCAAGAGAAACTAAAAGTTCGGATAGTTTACACCCCAAGTGTATTTGCATATTCCCCTGTAGTCATTGCCCACTACATCCTTTACGTCACAGCGACAACAGACTTGCCAGCGGATGCAGCGCGAATATCATCCAATGGTCATCCTGGACTGACGATACGACAAGCTCTGTTTCAGTGGACAAATTGACAAAGCCATCATTGTTGACAGGCCCAAATCATGCAGACCTGACTGAATGTCAGGCCCTGCAGAACTTCTCACTGAGGAGTGTTGGCATCATTGGAGCATTTCCTTTTTCGAAGAGGGTTTTTCTACAGTGAACGGCTCCTATAAGGAAAATCCTTTCTTGTCGCGAGCTGTTATTGTTTGAAGGTTTATTTAAGGGAAGTAGTCTTAGGCATTCGATGCCCACACTTATCCAATGAGTAACTTACGATTAACAACGTCTAAAAAGAACCTCCTAACTAGAGACACCGGAGTCAGGTGTAGAAAATCCATAAAAAAAGAAGCGCACACAGACTGCGTGTTCACATGACAGCAGCGAATTTTTAAGTTGAGGGAGGGGGCCTGTAAAAACAGCCATACACGCACATTCACCCACACTGTTATTCATCAGGTGGACACTTGACGCTTTGAATCAAAATTACAAAAATTTTGGCATACGGAGACATGAGACACAGAAGAGAATACCTGGAAGCATGGTACTCCATGGCAGATTCGATCAACCGGTGCATCGAACTGGATTCGATTTACGCACCTCGACGTGCAAAAGACCAACATCTCAACCTGAGCATTCAAAGAGGACCGAATATTGGATTTACAAACAAAGAAACAAGGAACTCCTTGGAGTAAAATCAATAAGGGTCACAAGTCGGAACTCGGAATGACTGTAGCATCGACCAGATTACGACGGCAGGGGATGCCAAGCTCAAAGGTCACGTGGGCATCGGCGAATGAGGACATAGGATAACAGGGCAACCAATGGAATCACCCGACCGAACAATTAATCGCGATCAAAGGTGAACCCTGGCTAGCAGCACGTATATTAACACACACGTAACACTAGTTAACGCAAAACCACTAATCCACTGCTACGCACCACTACGCTCCTCAATAACACACTGATGATGTCACGACTGGTGACGAAACATTTCCAATCAAATCGCCCAGCTCAGCGAACAAGCAAACGACCCAAATGAATTGTCTTCTGCATGTACGGTGGAGATTAGGAATGAATTGGATCAAGTCACAAAGTTTTGCGCATAGCCAAAACAGACGATGTTGTAGCCAGAATCATGGGTTAAGATCATACAAAGGCCAAATAACATAAATGCGTGTGAATATCTGACCTGAATAAAACATAAATAGTTGTCGTCGAGGCGAAAGATCTTCTGGCTTATGGTCATGGGTTGAGTGGAGAAAAAATCTATTCCCTAGTGTCCATTTGACCACTGAAAACCTGGTGCATGTTACGATTCAATTAGAATCGTTGACGAAGACCAAATGAAATTTGAGGTAAAATCAATAGCACAATTGACCATGATCATTTTACCCACGAATGTGAAGGTTGTTGTCTCACCCCTTCTTCCCTTCTTTTCGTTCCTTGAATGGTCACTGTTCTACACAGCTGCATAGCCCTTAAGCACCGTTATTTACCAAAATATATTTCTGTTCAGGATAACGTTGTTGTCGCGACGATAAGTTCATTACCATAATACCGAACAGTGAGTCGCAGAATCTCGGTGAAAGATGTGATCTACTGTGGGTTACTGATGACGGATAAAGGAACGTTTTGTGGTACCGAGTGAGAGCGTAATTCTGCAGACAAAACTTACCGAAAGAATCGGTGTTGGTCCACACAAGATCGATGAAATCGGACCGAAAGCTTGGGTGAAGTGAATTCGAATTTGTAAACTATCAGACGTGCCTTCTTCGCGGAATGATCGGTGTTCTTGAAGTGTCGCATCCAGTCAGTAAGTTGGAAAACAGAAAGGCGAAGAGATGTACCGTGAAAAAGAAAATTCAGCGCAATACTTTGTCCACCACACACTCATTCCATCACCCAGCAACTTATCCTGTTGCAAGCACATACTTGAAAACACCGAAGAATGCTCACTCACCTGTTTTACCACGACACGGCAAAACACATGGCGTGTGCTAATCTCGGCAATCTGAGCCCAACGGAACAAGGATAGGCGTACTTGACCCCAGTATAATACAATGCCAAGGCTGCAAACACCGACGCTGTAGGCGAACGCTGAAGAAGCCAGTCCATGACGAGTGTCTCGATTAAACGATGGGGAAGATGCTGAGTTTGGACAAGCATGGAAAAGATATACAAACAACACTGAAGAGATAACATCTGAAGGAAAACGATAGATATCTCTTCCACTCGAACATGAAACCCGTTAGCTAGGATTTAATAAAATGAATAGCTTATGATGAAGCTCTGAACATCACTGCCAGCTTCTAATACTCCGCTGCCTGAATGTATAAAAATTAAAGAATGGTTTGAAAATGCCCATGCATCTAGAGAGAACTACACGGTTGTTGAGAAAGGGGCAGAATGAAACCGAAAAATCCATCTAATGTGAACGGGTGCTCACATCAGCCTGATGACAGGATAGCGAATCATCACTTGATTGAACAAAGAAGCAATGAAGGCTGACTCAGCGACGATCTCTCCGAAGCCCAGGTTAAGCCCTACAATGCACTTTGGATAGAATGTTTAATCTGTTGAACATCAATCCCCTTCAAATCGTGAGACACCAACTGTCCGGCTTATTTGGTGTTTTTGTTTCGTTTTGATTGGACTAGGTCCACTGAACGACACGTTATCTCTGTGCCCCATGATTGGAGAACACTGCAACCCCAGAGGTTTCAAAGGCTAAGAGTTAACAAGGATCACACCCATGACAAAGTTGAAAAGAGAGAAGAAAGTGGTCGCGCATGGAACCGCTGGAGGTAGTGAACTCAGGTGCGAGGTTAATGGACGATGGAATTAGCGTACAGTGGTGTGAGGTAAGACAAGAATTTATACGAAATACATATGATACAGCCTCCGATTATCTACGGAGTCCGTGGTAGCTTCTAAGTCAACAACAATCAAATTCAGTTGCTGTAAGTGAAATATTATCGTGTCTCTGTGCAGGATAAGCCCAAGGACACTTAGGACACACAACCAACAGGATAACGTCATGGCGACTTTTGAGTAATGTCCGCCACCTTTTCTGAAAATTCGAATTAGCGTTAGGACTCCCTGTTTTGAATGTATTTTTTCTTCGCTGCACGCAAGGCGAAGGTGCTCGAGGTAGTTCAGTGGTCGAAGCGCGAAATGAGTGAGCAGAAGGTCCGTGGTTCGAAGCGAACCCCAGCATGCAAACTGCTTCCATCCAAACTTCAGCATCATAGCAATGTCTCAGTGATTGTAATTCCTTCGGGTGGTACGGCATCTAGGAACCGAAAAGGTGTCACAACTGAGCGATTATTTTGTTTCATATTTTATTGATAGCCAGTTTGCCGAAGCTCCTCCGCCTTCTGTCGAGGACCAAACATCAGGCTTCCTAACCCGGGGACCCTTTGTGCCTCAGAACAAATATTTCGCACCTGGATTCTTCCCCTGACAGATAACTGGATATTATATTTCACTTCATACGCCACATTACAAGAGACCAGCTCGATCACCCTTCGAAACACCTCACTCATCTTTCTAGACAGTGGTTTCACGGTTTCGCTGACAACTAGTTTCTCCTGCCTGATCCTATGCGCTGAAGCTGATACACAACCAGAGTTCCGTGCACAAAACTAACAACCTCACAACTGCTGTTGCCATTCAAACGAACGCACCCACCATCGTTAAGAACCACAAGCAAGGTTATCCGAGTCCAGTAAAAATGTGGAATAGGGCTAGTGCAAGCTCAATATGCAGAGTTACTGGACCTCACGACACTCAATTGCTTGTACCCGAATAGTAAGGGTTAGGCGATAGCTGCAATCATCTGCTTCAGGTCCTTGGACTGTGGAGTGCTGTTAACTCTTTCGTTCTTGGAATTCCCTTCTTTTTTGAATGGAGGAAAATGACACGACGATGGCCATACCCATTATTACGCCAGATGAAAGTCCAACCCAGTTTATCGCGAGTGTTGTGCCCGGGAGATTCAAAATACCGTCGAAACCACGCAGAGTTAATGAACACTGAGAACTTCTGGTCAAAAAATACGGAACTCGCTCGACTACTGCTTTGGGAAAAAGATACTCAAGGCCGACAGACAGTGTCTGAGCATGAGTAGGGTCAGCTGATGACCTGCAAAGCCTCAGAACTAAATAACAGCACGGGTATCAGCGAGTACAGTGATTGACAAACATTAATCACGTCTTCCTGGCCGATAAACTCAGAGGGAGGAAAGTATTTCTGGCAAACCGAAAGGAAGAGACGACTGGGAGCCATCCAAATGTTTTGGCTTTAACGCGAACGTAGTAAAAAATCGTTAAGCCGTAACACCATTCCGGTATCTAACTGCTGTCACTCAAAGGAAACATGAGAGCTGGGATACTGCTGGGTCACCCAAGCCTAGACAGGGAAATCCGACAGGGAGGGGTCGGGCTCGAAGCACGGACCTTCCGGTCAGTCAATCTGCCCTCTAACCGCTAAGTCATCTCGCACTGAAGTAGTAAGTACGTCTGAAGCGCAAACACCAGAGTGAACTAGGTGAGTCACGAATCTAACCTCCTGGGGTCTTGTTTGTTCTGATAGACTACCGTGCCACTGGCATGGCAAAGGGAAAGAAAAAGAGAAGTCGCGTTTGACTTAGGTGTTATTTTGGTGGTTCGATGTGCAGACAGGAAAAACCGTTGAAAATTCAGATTCCCTCACAGGTACATGGGATGCCTAACCCATCCTTGCGATCCCAACGCAACGGCCGTGGTTCCCGATTTTTCAACGAAGCACGTAAGCGCTACGCAGTATCCATTTTGGCAGTGTGATGGTTGTTAGCTACGGAGCAGATCACGAATTGGCCCGCTTACAATTTGGATTTTAATCCTGTCAAACATATCCGTGGCCTTTTAAGGACAAGGGTCTATGCGGACAACTGTCTTGCATACATCTGAGAAAATGAAATCTGCCAACCCACAGTAATGACAGAAGTTTGTGGCAGAAAATGCAAGACATTTAACCAAAAGCACGACGGAGACGTGAATTCCAGTCACAAACGACACAGATCGGTGCGTTTTTCTGCACGACCATCCGGGTTGCTTTTGGGGACATCCGCACTACTCAGGTAGAATATTCGCGACAGACTGATTTAGCTGGACCACAGTTAAACACTCCATCAGCTGAGATGGGTTCACCGTGCCTAATTTCATTGTCCGAAGTAGTAGGATGTCAGAGAGATTCAAGGAAATCTCGGTGATTCCGATAGCACTTCGTGTACATTGATTCACTGCATGAAATTGAACAAAAACCAGGGTGATCCTTGTTGGTGACAAATAAATCAAATATTCGCGTACGATGGCAGCAACCATGTAATTAGCGTTACGCACAGAAGTAAAATTATAGTTGCAAAGTTGCCCCGAAGCAGTCCATTCCGGTCATCGTGAGGAATAGTGAGAAGACATCAAAGGAAGCTAAATCATGAAGAACGGTCACAATGATGTGTGGCAAAATATTTCCGTTAAAGCTCGGATGCACAAGCATTGGGGATCGATGGATTCAATTCAAACGTGTCCCTAAGCTAGATCTGAAAACGCGTTCGGCAAATCTACCGTGGTGGTCATATGGCCAGAGGATCCATACAATAGACCCTCAGTAGATGGGCGTATTCGGAGTTGGACAGGATTCCCGTTAATTTTCGTAATAACCTGGTCTATCCCCACATTCACGGTCGTAAAAACTGGATGTGTGATAAGAAAATTCGTTCCTTATGAGGAAATTACAGGTAAACCATAGGATTAAGTAGATGATGGACTCCCTTTACACGTAAACGTATAGATAGATAAATTTATTATATGTGACAGCTTGATTTTACAATCCGAAGGCAGATGTGAGAGGACCAAGAATTCTCAGCATAAAAAAAGCTCAGTTTAGAAAAAGAAGGCGAAAGTAAACCTGAGAAGCGGGAAAAAGTATGTAAAAGACGTAATACGCTACTCATAAGGTCGCTGAAAACTCTTCGACACAACCTTCTTGGGGCTCATCAGGTATATGGCAGAGTTATCATACTTTCAAGTGAACTCCATTTGGAGGTCCCTTTTATGGATGCACAACTTTAGAGGAACGACCCCAAAAGATGACCAACAGCGCACGGAGACATGATGACAAGAACTGTTAGAACAAGAAAATCGATGCGGTGTGCGATAGGAGTATGAAAGCAGTAATGTGTTCCCCCAGATGACCAGCATGTAGTAGTGATGCTGCCTTACCCGAGGAAGGACGGGTTAGAAAAGGTCGGTCCTAAACCACCTTAAAACCACTCTCATCGCCCAGCGGTTGACCGTGACCGCCACCCCATCATTCAATATGATCGGAATGCTTTCAAAACCAGAGTTCGGTGTTGATCAGAAGGCATTTGCTGCGTGCAGCCTAATCAGGACTGAGACACTAATGCCTTAATCACTGCGTCCTCGCATTGGGGCATCCCCTGCAGCCAAGCAGGTCAAACTACTAAGTCACCAGCCCCGACCAGGGTCCTCTACTGCCCGCTGTTTCACGGGCCGGCTTTTTTAGTCAGAAGCTAGGGGCGGGGTCACCAAACAAAACCCCACATCTCCCACTTCCCCGTGGGTCAGACTTTTGAGGGAACAAGGACCGGAACAAAATCCCATATCTTCCCACTGCCTTGTGAAAGCCCTTACGTCCTAAACACAGCATTCAAGAAACTGTCGACTGTTTTTCACTCTTGATCAACATGAAACGTACGGACTTTTAATAAGTTTCCAGAGTTTGCGATCGACTTTAGAAGCAACAACTTATGTTGCAGTCAGATGGAATGCACAACCTTACCGTGTACGGTAAATGAAACCAGCTGCCAAAACAATCCGCTTCACAGCAGATAACGGCCATTGTGTCTACTCACTTAACTACGGCAACTTGGTAGACTTTTATAAATAAAATCTATAATGTTCACTATATATATATATTCAAGCCCGAACAACCCGAACACATTTTGCTCACTTATTCACGGCTGCTTACCGAAATACAATTTCAGTAATTCGAAAATCCTAAGTATCTTGGCTGCTCCGTGACGCAAAATCTGCAAACTTTAACAGTAGACCGCTCAAGTGGTTTCGCAGACGGATATAAAAATCCGTTTATACAGACTTCGAGTTTACCCCGTTCACATACCATAGACACTATCGCGCCTCTACCTACTTTAAGCCTAAAACCAACCGCTGGCAAATCAGATCACCCCGACTGTCCATACCAAACAACGGATACCAGATTATGCAGCATATGACATCAATTTCTGTGTCGCGCAGCTACTCTGACACTTTGGATATGACTTGTTGGTCTCTGGGACACTTTGTTGTCCTGCCGTACCTCACGTGTGCAGATGAGAGCAACAACCGTCCTACTCTGGTATGACAAGTTTCTAGTCGCGGTTTCTGAGTTAATATGAGATTCAAATGCCATTCAGTTCGACTCTACATGTGGCGACCTACGTTGTGTGTGCTGTATCGAAACAGGAGCCTTCCATACTTCGCCTTAGCGGAGAATCAGGTCGACTGGAGACATCTGCCCTGGGACAGGTCTCCGTCCGTGCAATCCCATCTTCGTTTGGCTCGCTGGATGACCTCGTTGAAATAGCGTGAGGCTCATACATATGGCTGCTACGGAGCGCCATATGTACACCGCTTTAGTGTCACCTGTATTATATATTGACCATGTTCCCTCGGCTAAGTGAAGACGACTGGTTGCATGAGGTGTACGCATGCCATTGTTGGCTTAACAGTGACTTTGATGTTTTAAGCATGAGGCCTAAGATCAGGTTTGCATTGCCAGCCAGTGAACATGGAATAATGAAACCTATGGTGTGGTTAAAAGACGATATGGATACCGAAGTGCTTTCAATAGCATTTCGCCCAACATACACAAACCGCAATTAGATCGCACACACTGGAAGCAGGCTCTTTCATCAACGGCCCCCTTGCATAGAAAAACCCGAGGCAGTTATCTTTGAGGAAACAGCGGAGTGAAACCATTCGTCCTCTGGTGCCCTACATAAGACCAGTAGTTAGCGCCTCAGAATGGAGTTCACGAGTGTATCCTATTAGGGTTAGAACTGAAAGTTAACCCAAAGGATCCTCTGGAGCACCCTGCGTTCACGGATGGTAAAAAGATAATTAGAAAAGTGCCCACTTTGAAAGGTCCTCTGGAAAATCTCTCCGAATGGATATACCCATGGAAACTTCCACACAGGTATTACAAAACTTCACACAAGCGAGGTGAAAAAACAAACGAGGGCACCAAACTTACAGTGGTTATCACAACCAGAAAGGGTGTGCCTCCATGAAAGCCTATTATGGCTCTGTGGATCCTCAGACGGTCTTGCGACGTTTTTCGCACGAGAAATTAGACGAAATGATTGCAGTCCACGTGTGTTTGGAAAGTAGGTATCAAAAGCCTAGATGGAATGACAAAACTGAATGATATGAAACGGGAATATATCGATATCGTAAAAAGATGTTAGAAACGGCACGATACAGGACAGCACTAGTGGAACGGAATGTTTGATCGAACTCTTCTTGATGAAGTTGGACATTGGGTAGTGAATAACGGGGATAGCTGTTGTGAACACTTCAAAGGAATAGCCCGTATGCAGCAGTGTCCTAGACGAACAGAGCCAGATATTTATCAGTGATGCTCTTTCCTTCAATGAATAAAAAAGCTCTTGCTTTCGAATAGTTGTAACAGACACAGCTAGAATGGCGAGTTCGAGCAAAAAAGCATTCGAGCGTTACTCAGGGGGAGGGGAATTGTGGTTAAGTGATTGACAAACCAATAGTTTTGTGTGTCTCTCGAACAGCTCCCACCAAACAGTGTTGCAGTTTGCGTCAGATGTTGGCACAGGCATAGACATTATTCGTAACCTTTTTTACCTCTCCGAAGCATGTGGCTTTTGGGGAGAGTTTCCTGATGTCAGGTAATGACGGATGATGTCCTCCCTTCACTGTAGTAGGGGCACTATCGATCCCTCTACAAGATGTCACTTTCAAGTCAGAAAAAACATAATGCAATTTTTCTACACTCACCTTAATTGCATGCAGTTCAACGCCGTAGAGTGAAAGTAGTTTGACACATTGAAGAAAGTGGTGCTCGGCTTTGGCATAGGACCAACCGCTGAAATCGGAATAAAAGAAATCGTACAGCTGTAGCACTGTTTCGGTGCCCAACTGCTTCGTACAGCTCACTGTTTCGGTGCCCAACTGCTATGCCACCCGTAGGAAGCACGAGGGCTGGGATACTGCCCGGTTGCCCAAGCCTAGACAGACAGCGTCGAGAGGCAGAGGTAGGGATCTGACCACGGACCTTCCGGACAGTAAATTCGCGCTCTAATGACTTAAGATATCTCGCCCCCCAGTACATATATATATATATATATATATATATAGATATCCCCAGTTAAACAGGT